GAGTGAATTATCAAACGCGCTGAATGAGAATTGTTTTCAGTTGGCAGGGGATGCGCGACCGTGATATTTCATTTCCAGGAATTATTATTCATTCAGCGCGATATACATGTTTGCAAAGTTGGATTATATCCTCTTCTCTCGTAGACGCTACGAAATATGTATGTGCAGCGGGACGTATTACACATTTTGTCAGGACGCTGTCAACTATAAATTAACCGTAAAAAACAGATACCAACATATTTAAAATATATTTCTTAAATATAACATTTAAAAGAGATTTATATAAAAATATTGTGTTTATGTAATCGTTTTAATTTTAATGGTTGTGATTTCATGTCATTCTCCTTGAAACATTGTAGAGTGCATTTCGTGAGACGTGAGATGAGAATACCGCAGCTCTTTTACCTAATTAATTCTACACATATTGCTCATTGTAAATTAATGTTTACCCAATCCTTCCGCCATATGGTTCTCTCCTCCATAAAATATACTCGCATAATTAACCGGGTGTACCCGACTCTCCGGCGAATGTTGGTAAGTAAATTCGTCCTGAATTACCGCGCTAACATCGAGCTTAATTAATTACGTCCGCGTTATAATATCACTCATGCCTGTCAGCACGAAATCGCCCACGAATGTATATCTTTCCTTTCCTCTTTGACAAACACGTTGGCCGCGCTCACGACGCCTATGTAACCGCAATCGCGGTGTTTTCGGGAGGAAGTTTGGCGACGCGAAAAGCTTATTCGCAGAGTCATCATGTGCGAGAAAGAGAGTAGGTCGCGAAACTAGAAAGCGGCTTTAGAATTTAATGCGTGGGAGATTTCGGCTTGCGGAAGCATTCGAACGTATCCAACTGGGTTTTGTCGTTCCTATGGGAGCGTTAAAGAAAAAGTGAGAGAGAGAGAGAGAAAGGCAAAGAAGAATAGAGATATAACACAGGAACTTAGAGAGGGAGAAAAAGAGTGAGAGAGAAGGGGGATGGGATTCACGAATAAGTATGCGGAGGACCAAAAGCTCCGGGTTTTCACGGCGACGGCGGTATGAATATTTAAACGGATGTAAATTGCGAATTAACTATTGATAAAAACAAACCAGCTTGTGTTAAGCCTTTCTCGTAAATCACCTCTATACGGGATAGAGAGGGGGGAAAAGAAAGAGCGAGAGAACAACCGAGGAATACGGGTCGGATTTTAGAGGAAAAAGTTGGGGGACGCTGTTTTTCTGATGCTTATCGATACCGGATACTTTCGCGTTCGAATGAAAATGCCTTTATCTACAAGGAGCATTATAAAGAATGTATTTCAGAAGAATCTAATAATTTTTCTAATGAAGAATGTTTCTGTGGCAAAAGCGCCTAACTAAGAAAATCAGAACGTCATCAACGTACGTTAGTACAATAATCATTCGTTTAAATTTATTGCATTATGTAATAATTATAACAATTATTGTATATATTGGGTTGAACGGAAAGTTTGTTCCGTTTTTTACCAACAGAAGAAGACCGGAAAAACGGCACGAATTTTCCGTTCGACCCAATATATATTAAAGTCTGATAAAAATAATTTTATAAAGAAACTCGATGGAGAATTTTATTATCAAAATTTGAAATTTCAAGATCAATTCTGAGCGGTAGCGCTATATTTTCAAGCGAAATTCCCTTATTTGATTGTTTGAAATATGACTATAAATAAACGTCCCATCTCTCTATCCAATTGATAATTCTCGATGACTTCGCGAATTGCCGATCGACGTTATCGATACGTTTTTTCTTCCCACATCCGACATTACCCGGCATTGTCTGGAATACCGCGAAATTGCTGGATAAGGGCTTTCGAGTCATGGCCGAGACATCGTTCAGAAATAAAGTGTCCCGCAGGAGTAATAGCGTTAGCTGGGAGATCTATTACCGGTAACGCAGTCACCATCGTGAGAAACCGAGTTACTATCCGCTATCTGCAGTTGTTCTTTTATGCACACGTACACGCACGGAAAGATTCATCACGCGTGTATGCGCGAGGACGCACGGACGATTCGGGGAGGGAAGATAGGTATATCCCCTGTGTAGACCATGGTCCATAGAGAGGGATGACGGAGGAGGATCGCGATCGAGCACGAGTGAGTGAAAGGGTATATGGGAGAAGATTATAGGCACGTATTGGCGCATCGGCCCCCTGGGTTCACCGGGTGTACGGGGGAGAGCATGGGGATATAAATGTAATCCAGAACCCAGACGTGACGTACATAGCTGCCTAGCTCGGCCGCTCGCTTTTCGCTGGTCTCTCTTCTTGTGACTCTTGGCAGTCGCGGGCACGTACATCTACACGATGGGGCTGCGATAGCGAGACTGTGCCCATGTGGGTATGCGAAGATATATGTATGTGTGTGTGTGTGTGTGCGTGTATGTGTGTGTGAGTGTATCTGCGCATATGTGTATATATATGGAGCACGAGACGAGTCGTGGATTTTTTGATATCCATCTTTTTATTATATAGCGATTCTTCTTCGAGATACAAACTCGTACGTGTTGCATTATATTGTTACATAATTCAGTTATTAGCATTTTGTGCGAATTTATGTAACGCACAACAAATTTTCTTTTAATATCGATATTAATATTTTATAACGAAAATGTGTTTTAGACGTCGGTGTTATTTTTAAGAATACTGTTTTGACATTACGGATATTTTTGCCATATTATACTCGACGTATATATAAATAAATGAACGATATGCATTAGCATATTAGAACGATTAGTAAATCCTATACACTCTTGCCAAAATTTCCGCCAAAGATATATTACGTTCCTTTGCGATTATACATAGATATATTAATCACTTGACATAAATAATGAATCGTCACAGTGTGACGTATATCTCTTGTGTGCTCTCTAAAACTTGCAAGTTAGTTTAAAATCAGGAAGATTAAAGGCGGAGTCCGATGAAACCGTGACCGATCAAGCGTCTAAAAATAATGTCGGTATGCCAGGATCAACCGATTGAGAATCGCGGACACGTAGGCGCTTAACGAGGGTGCTCGTGCGGAGAGAGCGAAAGGAGGATCGTCGAAATATAGGCGACACGGCGGCGTTATAGCTGCCGTCATTTTGTCTCATCGATAGGGACCACCGGGAACGGTATATTGTGTTTCGTGCACATTCGCGCTTTCCGCTTTGTCGATTGTACCGTCATTGAAGATTGCAAGATTAATTAAGTCCTCTCACTGGCAAAACGTAATTTGCTAGAGTATCTATACCTACTTCGAGACGTGCCGAGATTTCTAAATCTCAGTTAAACGCGATGACACGTGAGATATGTCAAGTATATAATAAATTATTAACGTTGTAAAATATGCGAAATTTATGCGCATTTGGAATTGTTTATAAACCTGGCGTTTATATAATTGATTTGAAAATATTTTATATGCACGGTGAGATGTTTTCATAACGAAAAACTTTCTTTTGAAGAACCAATATTGAACTTACTTTTCTGGCCCGATCTTTAGCCAGAGATTGAAAAGGGAGAGAAATTCTTCTTTTATTGCCGACTGCTTATTGTCACTATCAGATAAGCGCAAAGATTTTATTTGCGCTCATTTACGTTGACTGATTGATTTATTAGACGTGTGTGTTGTTAATGCAAAAGATACCGTCATTATCATGTAAAATATTAATTGTAAAACCATTTCGATAATTTTTCGATTTAAAATTGAATGTCAAAATTTATAAAAATTTAGGTATTGTACAGAAAAAATTAATCGTTTTAATCAGATAACGATTTCGCGAATATCCAAAGTTAAACTGTACAATATGAATATATGAAAATATAAACGTTTAAAAAACGAACAAATTTTGCTGGCGCAAAATGTGAATAGTAAAACCGTATTCGCGTTGCTTGCAATTTTTACTGCATATAATCTCACTACGCTTAGAAGCGTATCAGAGAGGAAAGACATTCATAATAAATGATGTAAGGTCCCATTCTCGCACCATTAGTGTGATAATGTTATATAAATAAATTATAAGATTTTCATATTCTCATGCCGTATACGCTTTTATATCGAAAATTTATATCGATATTAATATCTCATTATATTACATTTTATGCATCTTGTATTAACACTATTTTTTACATGATATGTGTAAAAAATATACATATATTTTAAGCATTTTGTGAAGGCAATCAATTTTCTAAAACAATCGATATAAAAGAATTCTTATTCCCGCGATAAAATATCGGAATATTTTTTGGATCTCACATCATTTTAATATAACTTTGCTTTAACTGATATAAAGCCAAGTTATCAATCAATATGAATGCATAAGCTAAAAAAAATTAGACTGAAATCGATGCCTTATAAAAATAAATTATTATTCAAAATTATTATTCAATCATTTACACAATTATAATAATGATTAGTATGTTTTTAGAAAATAAATCAAATGGAATCCACTATGCAAAGAAAATGCTTTCTGTCCTTTTTAGGATAAAATATTCAGTCTAATCTGTTTTAACCCAACATCCATTTTAAGACAATAAATTTATCTAAAATCTACAATCTACATCTATACTTACAATCTACGCGAATCCATTACCTTAAAATAAAATAAAAGTTTATCATTCACCGACACTGACACGCAACAGCGGAGTTGTAGATATTGAAACTACGTTGTCTATAACATACAAATATAAAATACGAATTATAGCAACGCCCAAAATATAATAAATATTTGAAAAAATTATTTTACGTACCAAATTTTATATCTGATATGTACAATAATAAGCAGATATATAAATTTGGAACAATTTTATAAATTCTACAAAAACTATTTTTTGAATAGAGACTTGTGTGGTGTGTATTGGATTTATATAAAAGTCTTTCTCTCTGAGTTTTTTTTTGTTTAAATAATTCAAATAAATGAATCGATATTAATATCTCATTAATATACCGAATTAATGCTATAAGCGATTTATAACAACTAATATATAAATAATACTCACCCTAAGTGGTTGCTCTGCCGGTGCCCGATGACTCTCCTCTAGACCTCCTTCTCCTCCTCAGATTGTCAGGGTTGTCAGTTATGTTGATCTGTAACATACAAATAGAAGATCCAAATTGTAGTTACGCTCAAAATAACTAATATTTCAAAAAATTATTATTGTACGCATTGAATTTTATATTCGATGCGTATAATAATAAGTAGATTAATGAAATAATTTTATAAATTTTGAAAGAACTAATAATAACTCTCTAATAATTCTATTAAAAGCTGGAAATAGAAACTTTTGCAAAAGACAAAAGCTTTTATAAAAATCTTTTTCTCTAATTCTCTCTTGTTTAAATTATGTAAATAAAAAATCAAATTAGACGATTAATCCTAAACCTTTAAGATAAACCTTAAGACACCACACCACCTAGGTACTGAGCCTTCCCATCACGTCAAGGTGTACTCGATGGGAGGGTTATATTATATAATTTTGTAATATAATATATAATTTGGAATTCTTTTTCATTTTATAATCGAAAGATTATAACTATATCGCATTTTAACATAAATGAATAAATATACAAGTTAAAATTAAAGATACATATTCACGGATTACTATATTCAAAAATATAATTAAATTTGCCAACTATTTATATGGCAGCTCTCGACCAAATAAATCTTGCGACAGACAATAATATGTAAAAAAATAAGTGTTAAAAACATTGTGTAAATTAAATTAATTTATGTTACCGCAAAATGTTTAATACATTCATGTGAAATATTCTGTCTCTTGAACTTTAATTAATCAGTGATTAAACGATTGATATATTACTGCTTTTCATTATTTTAATGTTTAATTTAATTATTTTAATCGATTCTGCAATTTGTGCCTTATTACGCAATTTCAATCCAAATGATGACAAATTACATTTAGATCGGCAAAAAATTTAAAATATCAGGCGGAATATATTTCATACTCTAAGCATCGTTAAAGAAATATTTATTACCCGTAAAGATCGCAACAAAACGATAATTTATAATTATTATCCCTATTGCTTTCTACTTGAAATAATAATATGTAATATATGCTTCGATAAATATCTATTATCACATAGTTGTATGCCGTTTATCGAAAATTAATTAGTCATTAATTATTATGATTATAGCAAAATTTTCCGGTATTTATCGCGATCACGTTTTGAAACAGAATTTGACAATATACGGAACGTCTCGCACCACTACTTTATTGCTCGAGTGTTGTCGTGCGGATGACAACAAGGCCACGACATGTAAACAGTAGAGCGTTATATGGCGTACTTCGATAAAGGCCTATTATCGCGAAACGTCGTTTATTAAAAGTTGATTGATTGTTAATCATAATAAATTATTTATCGATACTTATTGCGATCGCGACAATATATAGATTTTCTTTCGAAAAGAATTCGATAATATATAATATAAAGAGTTTCACATTACTACCTTTTCGCTCGAGTCGCAAAGGTAGTCGTGCGAATGGATAACATGACCGCATGTTAATAAAACATCCTGAGAAAAACAATGGATATAATATATAAAATATAAAAATATAATATTATATGACAATCAATTTGTTACCGTCCCAATATATATATAACATTTTATAATATAAACTCAGGCTCTGTATATTTTCTGTGTTTTTTAATTTAATTTTGATGAGTGGCAATTATCGCATATGATATCTAACATTCATTTAAAGAATATAATTTAGTTTGATCAAAAAAGTATTCATGTAAATTCATTTAATTACATTATTTTACGCCAAATATTTTCACATTCCAAAAAGATTAAATATATCAACAATCTATCATTTAATTTTAATAAATCAATATAATAAAACTCAATATTATTGCGAAAAAAGTAATAACTTATTATTTTTTCTTATTTTCTTAAAGTTTCACAAATTTCTCACATATTCGACAGATACAGAAACAGAAAATAAACGCCAAATTTTCCGATATATAATTTGCTATTCCATTTAAAATATTTCTTTTGAATTTTATATGATACAATAATAAACAAATATTTAATGGAATAATTATACAATTTACAAAAAAACTATGCTTCTTATATAATACAAATTTTAATAAAATATATTATACATTAAATTTTTCATTAATTCTTATTTAAGTCCAAATATATGTACCAAATAAATAAAAATAAATATGTGCAAGATAAATAAATAATGTACAAATAAAATGAATTACTCACGCCATAGATTGTTCCGCCGTCGCCGTCGCCTCCCAGACTTTTTCTTTTTTCAGATTGTCAGGATTCATTGCACTTACACAGTTCATTGCACTCACACTCGCAAAAATATGGAAGGGGTTCATTATAGTACATTACTATTTATTATGCGATATGATAAGAACAGACGCGCGACGTTTTGTACAGCACTCCCGAATTCGAACATGCGATGTTTTGTACACGGCACTATTAAATTAATTAAGACGTGACACTCTACATAACATCTCAAACTAATTAAAACATAACGAATCATTCGCGGCACAATTAAAACGGACGAGCGGCACTTTACATGGTACTCCCGAACTCCGCGATTACAAATTAATTTTCTGTTTCACATAAGAATTGTATTATATTTGAAGTCAACGCGTGTCAAAATAACAAAAACTTCGAACAACTTAAAGCCTTGCGAATATATGGTTAATTACAATCATTTCGATATGCATATATGTCATTAATTATAATAAATGTAGGAAATAATCGTCTTTCTCGAAGAATAATCTGACGATAAGCCGAGGAGCAACCTTCCTATTCGAGTTTCGCCGTATGACTGACGACTGTGTGAGCAAGAATGTTAACAATAATACGCTGTACACTGTACGTCGTTAAGGCCGAATACCTTTGTATGACAACTAATTTATTTTGCCGCCTTGAAATATATATATGTATATATAACATCAACAAATAACTTCGAGCAATTTAAAGCGAATGGTTAATTACAATCGTTTCGATACGCTTATGTATCGCTAATTATAATAAATGTAGAAAATAATCGCGTTTCTCGAAGAATAATCTGACGATATGCCGAGGAGCAACCTCTCTATTCGAGTTTCGCCGTACTAATGACGACTGTGTGAGCGAGTATGTCAACAATAATAAACTGTACACTCGCTGTGCGCCGTCAAGGCCGAATACCTTCGTATGACAACAAATTTGTTTTGCCGCTTTGTAATACATATATTAACCATCTTATAATATAAATTGAGGCTGAATATTCTATATTTTGTATTTCAAATTAAATTTGATACATCGTTGCAAATAAAATCTAAGAGATTTATTAATTAATAATTAAATGATTAGTATACATGTATCACACGCGGTCTTTTATTACGTTAATCTCTCGATTTTGCGATTCGTATTTTATTGTGCATTCTCAACATGAAGAATATTACATTAAAATCAATGAAAAATTAAAAATATATTTAAAATATATTTACCTTCTCTTTCAAATATCGTTAGAGAAATAATTATCGTCCATAAGGATCGCAACAAAACGTTAATTTATAACTTTTATCCCTGTTTCTTTGACTCTTACTTGAAATAATCAATAATCTCGCGAAATATATGCTTTGATAAAAATCTATTATCATTACAGTTATGTATTACAGTTACATGTTATTTATCAAAAATTAATTATCATGATTATAGCGAAATTTCCCGATATTTGATGACTTTTTCATTTCATTTCCACGTGAAGATCAATTTCAAATCTTTCAGAATCATTTTTATAGATTTCTAAAAGTCATCCTCCGATCGTGACTATATATTTCTTTTCACCCTGCGTAACTGCCTGTTATATCGTCGATCAGAGGAGCTACGTGTCGTTGTCTTTCATATCGGAGCCTGCCCTGGAATGATAAACGGTGCTTTTCGGACAGCGTGCCGTCCATTAAATGTTAAATGGCGTGCGAGGGACATCAGATAGACTGGCGTTTATGCGGCAAGAGGCGACGAGAGACCGCAAGGGCCCAGCCCGCGACGACGCTTGTGCGAACGTAGGCGTCGCGACGGCTGACGTGTTGTTTGGCTTACGGGGGTGCGTCTGCACCGGCGACGGTATAACTACACGGCGCCGAATTATTACTCCATAACCCGTTGCTTTTGCAGGCACAACCGACGAGATAGGCAACGGCACAGCGAGCGCGAACAGCAACACGTAGCGCGGCATAATAAACGGCCGATGGTATCATTAAATCGCAATAATACCGCATGCGCGTTAGACGAACACTCGTCTACTTCCGGTGTACAATCCCGGTCTATCCATCTGTACCAAGCAGGAAAAAAGCGGATTAATTAAAAAATCTCTGTCGTCCGTGTGCTTTTAAGTGAACTTAAACGTCTGATTATGTGTGTAGCTTGAATTAAATAAAAACCAGATTTTTCATTGGAAATTGTACATCGCATTCTCTCGAGAATAATTTTTTTTACACATTTTACCCTGTATGCCGAATCGAAGATATGATTTCCAAGGCACCCAGATTTCACTATGGAGTATTTATAAATGGATTATTTGGAACAAAAGTTCAAGTTTTGTTTGGGTTTGTTTAGGCCTCGGAAATCGTAGTACTGCCGTATAATCTATATTAGACAAATTTATATTAAATAAATTGCAATTGTAATTGCATGAAGCATCTCACAAAAAAGTCGACGTTCATATGTATGAATGAATAAAAATCACAGTAAATTTTTTTACTAATATTGAAAAATAAAGAAGCGCCGTGTGTAATAAAGCATTATAAAAGAATAAAAATTTTAATTGGTAAACTCTTACTTTTTGATTTATTGTAATTTATATATTAAAAAGGCAGTCTATGTAGAAAAAGATATTAAATAAATAAATTTTCACAATTTTTATATTTTTATAATCTTTCTATAAATTTTGTCATTAATTTGTCTCTATTTATAAACTTTTTAAATCCATAGGATATATGCTTGTTATGATTACTAATTTTAAATCATACTAAAATTTCGAATTATTTATTGTTCTCCTTGTTTTAATTATGTACACACTTTTGTTTTATTATGTACGTTTTACAGTTTGACTGTTGAAAAAATCCTGTTAAAAGTTCCTGCGAAATTTTTATGTTATTATTTTATGCTATTCTTTGAAAGTTGGGTATTACGAGCAATCACACCACTATAGATAGCTATAATGACGAGCACGCCGATATAGCGCCATTAAACACTTACCAAGTCTAATAGCGGTGCTAGACAGTTTCGCCGACTTTAATCATGATGGCCGAACGATGGAAATTGTTGTGTAACTATTCTTTATCAATACTTCGCTGTACTTTGTAAAATAGAACGCGGCAAGCAAATTGTGAGCCTTTTAAAGGATACAAATATTTGCTACAGAATATCTGTGTAATCATACGTAAAATTTACTAAATTTAGTTATTAATATTTAGGTATCAATTCTTTAAAAGTCTCTCTTTACAGCTTATCAAAATATTTTTTATAACTGATATAATATATATGTATAAGATTATTTAAAATAAATTATTTTTCAAGAGATAACAGAACACGATGAACAAGAAAAGATAACAAGTGAAAGGAAAGAAAATAGATATTGTTTATATATAAAAATATAATATTGAACACACATAGATAAAATAGAGAGAGATTAAGAGAAGGGAAGATAGAGAAAAAGAGAAAAATATTCAATGGTGATTAAATCAAGTAGTATAAAAATTTTGCAACTTTCAAAATTAATAAACTTGATTTGAAGAAATATTTGAAAGACTAAATTTTTCTAAATCAATTTTCTAGATTAAAGAGACGAATTTTTTAAGCTCAGCATAATGGAACTGTTGTCAACTGATAATAATTTGTTACGCACAGTTACTAATTATCGCAACATTTATCCTATAATTTCAAAATAAATTGACAATCTTCTGTCATTAACGTTTTTCAATATGAATAATTCAAGAACGAAAATAAAACTATATTCTAATCTCGTTTTATGAGATGCAAATAATACGATGTAATGAAAACTATATGTTATTACTTATTACCATATCAATAAAAGATTATGGAATTAATATATAATCGTAATTAAACGAAATATTTTACGTACGATATTTTTCGTTGTGAGAGAATTATCTCTCACTCAATAATACACTATCGAGTTAATACAGATGATTATCGAAATCACCTCATTGTCACTGATTGCAATTTTAATTGCAAGAGTTTTATGGAAAAAGAGTTCAAATCCAATTGTGTGTTTTACATATTTTCTGTTACATGTTTTACACATTCCTATAGAATGTCATCTCTCTTAAATTCTTTTACACTCTGCTTTGCTAAAGCTCGTTGCAAAATCTGTATATTATTTATGTATTTTATTTACTTATATTTTCTTATTCACTACAAATCTATTCCAGCTCGAAAAAAGACTTGTAAAATTTGTGTCACTGAAGCGGCTCTTCGTGCCTGCTTACTTTCGGACGTTGCTCATGCGACATAGGCAACTCCTCCGTGAAATAGATACCGACCCACACATGCATACACATAACGCCCGTTTAATATTCAATATCTACGCCACCGAGATCCAAGATTCTGAGCTCGAGATATTCATTCCGCCGTATGTGTTCGTGCGAAGGATAGGTACTTACGTATCCGCCCGATTACGTATGTGTGCCGGCGTTTTGTCGCAAAAAGTCGTCCATGCTGCAGACGCGACCTGCTTTTTATTCGGCTCGGTGGATCGCTTTTTGAATATTCCGCGACGTACGTGAAACGTCGTACGTGGCTTGTAGGCAGGTGTTACGGAATCGCAGCAGCGCAGTACACATATAACCGCGAAAACAGAGTGATAAACTGCGAAGCGCAGCCGGGTTGTCTTTTATGAAGGATCTTGTAATTTGTAATAATATAACATAACATAATATAATGTAAAATGTGAAATTTTTAACCAAAAAATATATATAACGGATGCTATCGTATCAAACTGTTTATCTGTGTTCAGACGTAAGAGATGTCTGCCTATATACCTTCATTTCTACTTGCAGAAGCCGTATATATGATGATCTTGTTCTACTTGTTCTCTTACATTTGTATCATAAATTCATACGAAGATTACCAAGTAATACATTCGGTCGTTCTAGCATGAATTGCTATTAAGGTTTGAGTGAATAAAGTAAGAATTTTAGACACGTTAAAACAAAAGAGAGATTTTGTTTAAAATTATAACTTTTATAAAGCGCGTAACATTAGCTTCGCTTTAAGATCGGACCCCCTTGCCAACTAAACGAATACCACGATGATATCGAATTACAATAGCAAATTCGCTGAATCGCGAAGAAATTCGGTCGCCGATAATCGATCTATCTCGCTGCGCCGCGCAGTCAGAGCAGGGTTGGCCGATACTGCACGCTCGGCGATATTTCAACGGCATATCGCAATATTGTACCGTCAACGTTTACCCCAGCGTAGCGCGATTCCATTGGTAATCATTTCTAGTCGAGCAAATATTGCTCGGCGAAACAGTTCATTCGCAACATTTCGACCCTGGAGAATTTAATTGTTAATATTTTCAGAGGCGCGAGAATTCTCTGCCGGATCGTATAAATAAACGTCAATGAATCAATGAAGCCTTATATATGATGAATTGTAAAACATCCGTAGAAGATGGTAAGAGAGAAGATCGATTGATATACAGAAAGAGAAAAAGAGAGAGAGAAAGAGAAATTAATTCTGTTCTAGTATTAAAGCCATTAAAAATGTCGAATTAGGCAAAATTAAGCAAAAATCTAAGATTTTACACCAAACCATATAATTTTTATTTTGTCTCTTGAAAATATAAAAATTTTGAATATACTATATGGTTATGTAATCTGCACTTGCATTATTGAAATACATAAAATATAGAAAATATATTTTTTTATCAATTTTAATATTTTGAAATATATTTTCTTTGATCAATATTTTATTTAGTTATTTAGCGTAGTTAAATATAATATAATAAATATAATAAATATATTTGCATGTTATTTACTGGATAATATGATTAGCGACACGGTTATATAAGAATTCATTAAAAATGGGCGCAATAACGTTTGTGTCGTAAACAACAGCTGTTGCATATGGGACATGCGCTCCTGTAAATATTGAATTA